TGTTATATGATGTTATGAACTCATGTGTTGTGATTATGAACGCGTTTGAAATATGTCATAGGCCTATATGTTTTATGATAAATGCATGATGATTTTCAAACATATCATTATATTATAAAGATGTGAAGTTGCAAGCATGTTATGAATGCCAAGCGTTATGTATGTTTGGGTGGTTATTGTTTGCTACTGAGATTCTCCCGAATCTCACCCCTCCCTAACCAACCATTTTGGTCAAGTATGATGGGCAATGATTGCATGAAGGAGAGCATGAGAAGGAAGGAGAAAAAAGTGGAGAATTATTCATGTTAATGAATCAAACTATTGGTTAATGTATGATTCTCTTATTATGTAAATCATGTATATAAATGCCAATGATGCAATGTATTTATTTAGAATGTTTATGATACGAATGCAAATGTATAAGAATGAATGGGAAAGGATAGGGCCAAGCTATGCATGCCAATATAATAAAAAGAATTAAAACAAGAATTGTCTAATAGATAAAACGTAGGACCTAGAGCAGTCAGCTTCCAGCTCTAGTTTGATCTATCAAATGTATGAGTTAAGCCATGAAACTTGGCAGACTTATTATACACATCCCAAGCTTTAAAATGATAGGTAGATTACCTCAATTGGATGTGTACACTAATAGATACGAATTTCCAATGTTGAGCCAAGAAAACTAAAAGTTCTAAAATTTACCAAATAAACAGTGAATTTCATGGATTAAACTGTATGAATTGGCTTGAGATAAGTCCAGTTTGATTTTTTTTTTCCTGTAGAGAATTGAAAGAGCTTCGAGTAAAATTTTAGAACACCTCAATACGATTTTTATAGAATTAGTTATAATTTTTCAAAGTTGAACTAAAAATCTGAAATTTAACCAATGGATAGTAACACGAGAACCAGTTGCAAATTTTTAATCTACGAGCTTGTTTCGTGAATCGCGTAAACTGTAACGCTTCTGAATACGTGTTCTGAGAGGTTAAAAGAAGAATGTTTCAATGAAGGGAGAACGAAAGTGATAGAGATATGTTATAGAAGTGCAAAACTAGTAATATAAATGGAGACATCATTGAAGTGAGTAAAGTAAAAACGAAATAAGGAACTTATTGGGTGATGAGTAGGGTGTTGAATTTTGGGGATAAAAATTTTTTAAGGAGCGGACAACATCTTACTTTTAGAACTTGGAAATTTAATTGTAATACAGTGTACATGAAGGATATATTATGGTTTATGAAAAACACCGTATCATATCAAATTAATTCTACACATTAGTATGTTTATATGGGAAAATGTGTATAAAAAAAAAGCAAATAAAATATCTTATTAGAATGAAAGGTTAAGATACAAATTTTTTTGGAAAGTTTTTACTCAAAAGTATTGGATCATGAGCCTTTGTAGTGATTACCTACCAGCACTACTAATCTTATGGCAACTTAGATCCACATGCGTAGCTGTTCAGGTGATGACTACAAAATCGCTTGCCATGACTTATTTTATTTTAGCAGTAGTTGGTGTCACTACTACACATCTACCTTGTAGCACTTATTACCACTACTAAACTACCAAAATAATCACTACAAAATTATTGTTTTTAGTAGTGAGAGTACTCGTCATTAGAAAAGTTTTTACTCTTATTTGACATTGAAAAAAAACTGTTATTTCTTAAAGTAAAGTAATAACAAATCTCATGGTACGAAATCTATGTTGTCACTAATAAAGGTTTGTTGTTTTATACAACTAAAGTTATGTTTTAAAGTGAAGTAATCATTGATTTCATGGTGAAAAACCTAACTATTCAATATAGTATTTTGTCACTGATGAATGTGTTATTATTATTTTAGATAATTAAAATTGTCGATTGATAAAGTGAATTAGTTATTTCATATAATTTGAATTTGATAGTTATTTTCATATACAATTTTACAAAATATTACTTAAGACATTTAGTTGCCTGATTGTCATATGACTTTTTTGGAAAACCAAAATATGTAAGATCAAATCCCACCAAAACCACTTATTACTCAAAAATTCTCTAACCACCTCCAATAGTTGCTTGACAATGTGCAGCGACTAGAGTTCAAGTGTTATTTGAAGGAAGATCAATGACAATGATAACTTGGAGGAGGAAGCTTTTATTTACAAAAGAAAAAGTAAAGAGACTTGTGTAAATGCATCCACCTTAATTTCATTCAAGCCCCTTAATATTACATCTTGTTTGGTTCCCTCAATTGGAGAGAATGTAATATAGTGTAATACAATGTAATATAATGATAATTACATGCACTTGTTTGATACACAACTAAGAAAAGACAATGCATATGCATAAAAATATTTGATTGCATTAGCACGAACAAGAAAATAGATAGGAATAAATAATAAGTTAAGAGAAAAAACTATCCTAATCAATAATGAATTAAAATGATGTATTTGTTGCCTAAATATATAATAATTTTTTTGAGTTAAGGTACAAAAATACCTATTAACTTTTGTCAAAATGTGCTTAACACCGTATATTTTTCTTAAGTGTAAATTTAACAATACAAGTGTAAGTGCAAAAAAATCAAGACAGTTTAAACAAACTAAAACCCGTTTATTTTAATGGTGGGGCCCACAATATTTTTATGAAAGTACAGTACCCCAACTAAAAAAGCCTCTCATCTCATCTCCAACCCCTCCCTCGTTCGCTTGTCCAAAAAAAAAAAAAAAACCTCTCCTCTCCAACATCTCCAATCGCAGAGCAACTATGACTCATTCTGATCGAGATCTGAGACGGCAGAATGCCGACGACGACGGCGAGGTCGGAGACAACAGAACACCGATGATAATGGCAAGGTCTGAGACGGCAGAACGTCGTTGGTGATGACAACGAGATCTGAGACGGTAAAACGCGGGGTAAGACGGTGAGATCAAGATGGCAGAACCATGGCCTCTGCAATTTTTGTCGAAGGTTGAAGAACACAGCCTAACTACCACTGTTGCATCCCAACGATTTGAAATCCCAATAGTGTAATCATTACCTCCATGTGCCAACTCCCTCTCTCTCTTCCTTCTCTTTGGAGGTACAATTACCACCTTCTTCTTCTCCTCCTTACCTCGATCAATGAATTATTTTGGATTGGGTTCAAGCATTCTTTATCAAAGGTTGAATCTTTAATGCTGAAGGGTTTAAGTAGAGGTTGAGTTCACAAAATGGGCTGGAGAAACATTGTTGTTTTGTTGATTCCCATGTCATTTCTCTCTCTTCATTTTTCCTTGTGAACTTTGTAATTCACTCTTTCTTTCCCTTTCTCACGGCTAAGAGTGATGCAGGTCACTTTTTGAAGATCCTTCGTGTGTCTATGCTTTATCTTTGTATGTGGTATCTCAATTGATAATCCATTTATGAGTTTTGAAGGGTCATTGTACCCATTATTTTCTTTCTGGGTGTGGTTTCTATGTATCCAAAGTTAGATGAATTCGAGAGGTTGGGGAAGGAGAGGTTTTTTTTTTTTGGGGGGTTCTTTTTTTGGGGATTGAGGGCATTCCAATACTTTCATAAAAATTATGTGGACCCTACCATCAAAATAAACGGCCGTTAGGTTGTTTTAAGGGGGTTAATATTTTTGTATCTATTTTGAGCTTGTATTGGCAGATTTGCATCTGAGAAAAATATATGATGTTAAACACGCTTCTGAAAAAAGGTGGGTATTTTTGTACCTTAACTCTAATTTCGTTCATACATATATATACTTTTTTTATTCTAAATATAAGACGTATTTTGTAGTATAATATATTTAGAAATATATAAAATAAATTAATAGACAAAATTAGCCTAGCTAGTTCATATATACAATGAAAAATTGAAATTTGAACCGAACCAATAACTTAAGTCATTGCACGTAGGTACCTATATACGTACATACATAAACTGATATACACACATATGTAGTAGCTTGGTTTGTATATTGGTACAATTAGATTGTCCATTTATCTCATTATTTTTTTTCTTTTATTAACTTGTATACAAAAAATATATAATTGAATTAAAGTATAATGAAATTTTTATTAATTAAAATTGTGTTATATATATGTTATCTAACAATCAATATAATTTCTATATAAATTGAAACTGAGTTAATAAGTGATCGATAGCTTTATGCATCTTTCATTAAGGGCACTTTAATTAATTTAAAAAATTATGATAGCGATAATGTCTTTTCTGTTTGATTATGAGAAGTACCTCATTCATTAGTTCTAACACTGTAATGCCCTTTACATTATTTAAAGTAATTAGAAGTATAAAATATAATTCCCTTTACATGAGTCAAACCAAATACTTGGATAACTCTGTTTCAATTATGATTATATGTAATCCTTTTTCGTGTAAACAAGGCTATTAAGTTACTTATTAAATGGAACCATTTTATCATATCTATATTTTTGTGGTATTTGTATGCCATTCTCCTTTTTTTTTCATGCAATTATATGACATCCAATTCCACTAAATCAGAGTTGAAAAGTGTAGCATTATTAAAATAAGGAGAATTTTTTTTTTCCAATTTACCAGATTCCAACAATAATCTTGTTTTTTTTTTCCACCAAAACGCTAATCTTCCTTTTTTCGCCCAAAAAATATTAGGGCTTAAGAGAAATCTATTTTTTTTCTGCAGAAAAACCCAATCCCATTTACATCATCCAATCACCATTGTTTCCTTCATGAAAAACCTAACCTTAACATGGACCGTTACAGCACTTGTTATATTTTTTATTTTACCAGAAACATTATTTGCTTTTTACAGCTGAAGAAAAGAACAAGTGATTCAGGACTTTCCAATTCTTTTTTAAACCAAAGAACTCCCCAAATTTAACTGAACGTGAGAATTTACAGGGAAACAAAGAGGAACTTAATGTGAAATTGCCATAACATTTTTAGCTGAGCTTACATCGGTGATGTCCGAATCAAACAGCAAAAGAAAAAAGTTGAAAGGTAAAAAAAAAACCTGACAATGTGGACGAACATAAAACTCAGCTTAGGACTCTAGTCTTTCTTCAACAATTAACAATGACAACACATATTGTTAAAAAATATAAACAAATGAATTTACCAAATTCAAAATCTGCTTCCATTAGCAATAAGATTCTGACCCTCCTCATATAGCATATACTCCTTCTAGTTCAAAATATAAACTAAATTTTATCTATTTACGTTTATTAAGAACCTAGTTAAAATCAATTTAAAATAATAAATATGTAAGGCATATAGTTTTTTTCCCCAAATATACTCTTATTAATGAAGAGAATAAATAAAAGAATGCAATAGATGAATCAAGAAGAAAAGAGAATATATAAGAGTAACATTAAAAAAAACTCATTAAATACTTAGAATAAAGTAAATATTATCTTATTAAAAAAAATTAAGTCCTTACAACAAAATTTAGCTTATATTTTGAATTGGAGGGAGTACTTTCTACTTTCTAGTCTACTTCCTCCTGCAGCCTTTTGCATAATTAACTACCACAAATGCTCCACATCTGTTCGTGCAATCTCCATTATTCTACTCTATTCGTACATGTCAGAATTGCTGATTTCATCTTTTCTTTATCCAATGATGTTTGAACCATCACCTGTGCAAAATGATTTCTTTTGATTATACGTCACCCAAGAAAAATATACTATGTAATATGAATAATAGATATTTAAAATTCTGGCAAGAATAAATAGATATGTAACAACATGCCTTCATTTGCAATCTTGCTGCTTTAGAAAGGAAAAAAGTGGACCACAAAAGGCGTGTATAGCTAGAAGATTATACAACATTTCAAGAGTAACTAGAGCATATAAATGTTCAGTTTTACAATAAAATCTGAAAGTCTTATCATGATTGACACAACAATCAATGTGTCTAAAATAAATTATTGTGAGGTCTCAAGAAAATAATATAATTATCAAAAATCTTAACGACAAGTAAGAGCACGCAAGTGTCATTATTTTCTGCGCCAAAACTTGTCAACCACTTGTTTTAAGGCTTTGTGATTACATTCCTTCCATTCCCAAATTCAAAGGCTCAGACATTTTTAGCCTGGTGACTGGGTGAGTTCTAGTAGTGCAGAGTGTACAATGAAAGAACATGCATATTCTTTGGGGGAAAAAATAAGACAAGTTTGCGGAACTTAAAGAGGAATTTGTCATGCCATAACTCAACATTTTTGAGATAATAAACAATCTACAAAAAAGCAAGCGGTCGGATGGAAATATACTAGCTAGAGAGACTAAAATATTAAATTTAGTAAAAGCAAATCTATTCATGAAATAAACAAAAACCAAATCTGCAATATCACGCTTATCAGCATCAATGGCCCTTACCTCTTGTATTCTATTTCCAGATCGAGCAAGCAGCTTGTACTGATTCTCAAACATGGAAGCCATATAAACCTGGAGAAAAATTAAAATTAGAAAAATAATTTTAAAAAAAATCTAATAAAAGAGGTACTAATAGCCAAGAAAAAGGTGCTAAACTCAGCCAGAATCATAATCGAGAGTTATGGTCCTCTGTAATCCACTATTCATGAACAGACGAGATCTTAAAATACAAGGGAAGGAGTGCTATCCTGTACTTAAAAATATAAAAATGAGAATTCCGTTAAGTTGCACATGTATGCCTAAAAACATGGCTGCTCAAAAAGGGATGAGCGAGTAGCATAATTAATGGATGGTGAAAACTGAGCCCATTGCTGTATTATATGAAAAATGACTTTCTAGGAGAACCGCAGCTGCACATCTTTAGTCAGAGAACAGAAGCAGAATTTTACAGGTAACCTTCTTTATTTTCATGTACAGAACCCATATGAAAATTCATTGATGTATGCCTCCACCTGACCTCTTGCAATTCCAAAGATGATAAAATGATGCAAATATTATCAGCCAAATGCATAATAATAATTACATAGCAAATTCTGACAGAACAAATGAGATAATACCAATTCAAGCGCATAAGCAAAAAGAAGCAAAACTACACTCAGAATTTAGTCAAATTCATGTCTTTTGGGCCAACAGATCATGCCCCGTTTGTATTGTAGAAGTCTACCTGAAATGTTGGAGCTAAACCAGGGCTTCTGAAAAAGCGACCTTTTGCAGCAGATTGGATACCATCAATCTGCTGCAATTCCTGGATAAGAGATTCAACTTCAGACCACTGCATAAAATTGAGCATATTCTGCATTAGTAATACAATTAATGATGCTTCAGTGGATGCACAATCCACACCCCACCACATATAATCATTTACGGAATTATTGAGATTGGGAAAAAAATATATGCAGATTGCAGAATATGAGATAGGATCCCAAGCGTAAGCCATAGGCCAGAAATAGCAAAGTAGAACAAAATGCAGGTACCAGCTATTAATTATTATGGAAAAAATTATATATCTGTTATATTTATTATTAGTATATTCAGACTATATAGGCTACCTCTGGATTTAATGTATTTATTTGCCTTTCATGTCTAAATTACCATACCTTGTAAATTTCAATATGAATAAATGTAAATAATTTTCCTTATCAATCCAACATATACCCAATAATCTCATACAATCTTGTGACCACACAAGCTCATCTTAAAGAAACATTTCACATACTTTCTCATCCTCGCATCAAAGCCTCTTATTCACTTGCATCCACCATGGACTCATCACCAGGGGAAGCAACATGACATGAGCCAAATTCTAAAAGCAACGTAACTCTATTCATTTACACCATAAATAATAACTTGATCTTTAACTACAAAAATAGGGTTCCGTAGCAGCAGCACCCATTCCAGATAGATAGGCAGTCAATAAGCATTACATAGGAGCTTATAAATATTATTGTTTTGTCCGGTTGGGCCATTTCAGAGGGGCCTAGTCAGAAGGTCAATAGCTTCTCCATCAGGTTCGATCAGGCCATTAGTTACTGAATAATTTTATTTTGTCAGAGTTCAACTTTACTCTATCCATACAGATAACATATGCACAACTGACCAATGCATACCACAAACAGCATAATTTCAAAATAAGAACACATATATTCTATTTAACAATACCAACACCTGCATGCAATTCATAAAACAGCAGGTCCTATAGATCAATCCTTCAGCATCATTTATCTGATAATGCTGACTGCTCTTTTCTCATATAAAGATTTAACATGTTTACCTCTGCATCACTTTCAGCTGCTTCCAATCTCTCATCTATGGGGTCATGATCCCCAACTACAGACTCCAACGACTTCAACAACGGATCAGGCTGCCACAGAAAGGAATGCATTTTTGTTAATTTCAAAGAGTAAAGAGGTAATGATTTATGTAAAAAGTGGCATGATAAGTGGATATGAGTACAGAATAATGAGAAAATATTCATTGTAAATAGTCACAGGACCACAAAGTGATCAGGAGCTGATTTCGCGAGATATGACTTAAATATTACCCTAACACATGTAGCTCTGTATGTGTAATTGTGTATATATATAGAGACCTCTATACATGATATTTTGAATCAACGAAATCAATGAATTAAACCCACAAAAAGTAAAGCTAATGACAAATTATCTATGTAGTCTAACCCTAGTTTAAAGTAAAAGCGTAAATGAAAACACATAAATACATATATTACCATGATCTCCTTTAATGACAAAAATATGCGTTCATGCGCAAAGTCTAGTTGGTGAACTTTTGCCTCTACAACCTGGACCACAAGAAAAGCTTAATAAGGAGTACAAAAATCATAAATGCATAATCAGTTTCACCAATGTTGAGCAATCTGATAATAGATGGAAAAATCACAGTTGTTCATGGGATGCATCCATAGTCTCCCTTTTCATTTAGTACTGAAACGTAATCTCAAATTTCCTAGTCTGAAATACCATCAACAACGACAACAAGCCTCGTCCCACTAGGAGTAGTGGGCTGCATGGATGGTACGATGTCCACTGTGCTCTATCAACAACCAAATTCTCAAATAGGTTGTTAACCAAAAAGTCCCATTCCAGTCTGAAATAGCATCACGGAGGAAAATACCTGACCAATCTTAAAATATGATGCTGGGTCTAAAGTCGCATCCCATGATACTTCTGTCTGATGAATGAGCGCAGGAACTCCTTCAACCTACATTTATATTGGGTCAAACATCACAAATTTTTTTTTTTTGGTTTACATTACAAATTTGTCACCTTCATGCACTAACATAAAAGGCACTCCCCCTTGACTAAACATATGGCCCAGCAAGCCATTCAAACTATCCTAGGTGATACAAAACGTAAGATAGTAGTAAGAATTAACTTCCCAACGGAGAATCAAATGCTTTTGCATACCTCAACAAAAATGCCAAAGTAAGTTATTTTCTGGACGCTACATTTTACTATATCACCAACTTGAAGCCTAGCCTGGCATTAGAAACAGCAAAAAAGTTCAAGACCATTTGGTGTCATATTCAATCAACAATGTTGATACAAACATTTTGTATATCAGTGTGTGTCTGTGTTTTCACTACTTACCATGAGATTTCTCTTCTTCTGAACAAACTCTTCCTTCTCTTTTGGTCTGACTGACAATATGAGCTTCCTTAATTTCCTGTCTGCCGATACTATATTGACTTTAACTTTCTGCAGTCATAGTATATGTATTAAGATTGATGGTATTCAAGTTCACTTTCAAAGGAAACTATAGAACTTATTTGAAAACAGTATATAGGTTTTGAATACTGGACCTGGCCAATAAATGATGACAAGAACCTAATTTTCTCTTGGTCATAAATCCTCAACAGATCTTCCAATTTCATATCTGGTGAAATCTTCCCTTCAAGTATACTATCAATCTTCATGTCTTGAGGAGAATTAAGAGGGAAATACTTCTTTTCAGCATCATAACTTGTAATAACGCTTAAGTTTTGCTTGTACATTGATGGATCCAAGCCCTTTCGTCTCAGCCAAGACTCAAAAGCAAAGAACTTCCACTTGGCAGAAAGATTGCGATATGGCAGAAATCCTACCAAGGAACCAAAAGATGCCTGTAAAATGTTTCAATCAAGTTCAGAAGAGATATATGAAGAAAATGCCATTCCAGACAGAGTGGAAACCCATCATACTGCCCCTAAGAACTTACAACAAAGCCTCTGGTACTACAGCTTATTAGTTCCACATCTGCCCTATCTCCAGTCTTAACCAAATCCTCTGCCCTAGTCCAATCAGCATCTTCGCTTTCCTTTAAAAAACAGAGCAAAGGTTATCATCGAGCATTTGTAAATGCATCACAATTAAAATAGTATATTAGTCACTTATGGAACATGAATGGTCTAACCTGAAAGTTCGTCACAACTAGAAGATTTTCTAATTCAACAGTGCTTCTGTTATCTCCAGAATTCTCAAAAGCAGTCACTTCTCCAGTAGATTTTGAAGTTTGTTTCCCAGATCGGTCTAATCTATAAGATAAATACATGTAATCTGACAAGAGTTGCCACTATATAATGACATTATGTAACTGCAAAAGTAAATTCACAGACCTTTGTGGTTTTCCCTGTAGTGCAGCTTCAACAGACAACTTGACTCTAGAATCAGCTGAATTTAAATCTGAATGATGACTGGAATCAGTTTGCTCTTGATGTGATTCCAAATTTCTCTGCTCGTATTGGTCCAATCCCTAAATAACCAAGCATTGAAGAAAAATTCTAGCCTTGCATAATTAACTTCTCTATAGCAACGAAGATAATACCTACATCATTTGGGACAGTGACGTTCAGATCTCCAAATTCCTCATCCTTTTTGCCCACTGCTTTGTCAGAACGTTCAAGCAAAGTCAAGTTTCCAGTTTTATCATCTAGTTCTTCTTGTCTCATCTGCATATCATTACCATTGCTTATTTGGGCATTCACATTCTGATCAGTCCCCTTTGGAATTGATGGCTCAGGCTTCTTCAATAATGTCCTATTATCCGGTTCTTCTTTTCTCATGTTCAAATCATTATCATTGGTCATTTGGGCATTCATAAGAGCAGAAGGCTCTTGCTTCAGATCATTCTCCTTTGCAATTGATGGTTCAGGCTTCCTCAATAGTGTCATATTGCTAAACTTGTCCTTTGATTGTCCATTCCGCATTTTCAGAGACAGATTTGGTTTTATTCTCAACTTTGATGAAGTGTCTTCATTGCCATCCTCCTTATAAACAGTTGGCTTTCTTAAGATAACATTTGGTACACTACTTTTTGTTACATTCACTGCCTTACTTGCTGGTTTGCTTGGTTTCTTAATCTCGGATGAGGTTTTGTTATCCTCAGATTTGAAGTTTGTTCCTTTCACTGGGACAGGTCGTACTAAACCCAAATCATCCAACGAACCTGAAGATTTCCTCTTAGACCCCTCAAATGGAACTTCCTCTACCTCAACGAGTTTACCTTTATTCTTATAAAAGGATTTCTCAATATCGAGATAAGAAGCTTCCGGGTTCGCCTTTCTTCCCATTATCTGAAGCACCAAATACAACCATAAATGACAGATAGAGTTATATGCAAGCACATACTGAATCATTGAATGTCGTAGTTACCAGACTGATTCAAGCTCTCAGTTTTACTTTTAACATTTCAATTTATATCAAACAAAGTTATTTTATAAAATTTATTTTAAAAAAAAAAGGCCAACATACAAGCAGAGTTCGCCTTACTTCCTTCAACCCCGTTACCAATTACCGTCAGCATCACCTCTTCGGTGGGACCAAATACGAATGACCAAACGGATGGTCTGAGTACACGACCAATTTCACTCATGTCCAACATCTTCGACATTTATATCAGATTTAGACATACTTTAAATACATTTAAACACTAATTATCCCAATAATTGAATGTTGGTATCCCTGCTGTTGCTTCTTGAAGTACACTTTGAAATGAAAGGGAGAAAGAGAAGAAAAGAAACAGAAAAGACCTTGGCTAGGGTTAGCTTGGGGTCCTCGCCAATTAAGCGCCCGAACTTTAGTTCCATCTGGTCGAACCTGTCAAGCTTCGGGGCCTCATCCCGTGAGGCACGAACTGTGAAGGTATTTGATCTTTTATTGGAATAAAAGATTCTGATTGCACTTCTTCTCTCTGATGAAAACGAAAAAAGGCGAGTTCGGCCAGTGAAGAAGGGTTTGCCGGAAGTGGCTGTGGTGGCGAGAGCAAGACCGTCCATTTCCCTTTAGAGCTAACACGATTATTCTCATCACAGTTCACAGGGCAATAATGAAATTGCCCACTGTTCTTCTGTGTCGTGTAGGTTTTCTTGTGACTGAGCTGCCAGAGAGAGATGATTCTGAGAATACGTTGGCGATAGATAAACGGCTAGCGAAAACTGGAAGAGAGGGGTTATCGGTTATCCTGCCCAAAGTGACGTGGCGGCAGTTTACAATATGAATCAGAATCCGTACATGTAGTCTGCATAAACGAGCTTCATGTCCATTCTATTTTATTTTACTTTATTTATCTCCCACCAAACGAAAACATCGGAAATTTGGAAGGGAAGGGATCTTTTTGAGACGGAGTGCCCCTTTCCTGGACATTAAAATCGATGGTTGAAATTGATAATAGACCTCGATTTAATAAGTTTACGTAAGGTAACTAGTGAAAATTCTGGTCCAAAAAAACTTAGTTAAAATTAATTTTGTGAATATTAAAATTAGTTTCGATAAAAATAGTTTGTTCAATTAATTAAAAAATTTTATGATTTGTTATGATACCCTTTTATAATAATGGGATGGTGTAGTTTAAGAAATGAAAAAAAGACAATAAAATAATCTAGAAATTGTCAAATGATAAATTAGTGGGGGAAAATTTTAAAATTTCAAATCAAATCTATTGTATTATTTTGAAACTTTTAAAATCTTACAAAATGATGCAAATGCCCTTCACTATTTTTTCTTTTTTCCCCCCAAGAATGTTACCTTAGCACCCCTAGCCAATTTCTGATTACTGGAGCTTGAACACCGGCGACCCCTCCAGTGGCATGTCAATGGAGCTTCAGCGGCCTCCAATGACTACTCTTTGCGTAAGTGTTGACTTCTCTTGTTTAATTATTAACTACATTTATTTCTAAAAATTCGATGGTTGCTCTTATTTAGCTATTGACTACTCTAGTATCGTGATTGAATATTTTTGTTTTTAAAATTTTAGTGATTACTCTTGTTTAACTATTGATTACTTTAATTTTGCTATTAACTACTTTTGTTTCAAAAATTCAAAAATTGCATTAAGTATTTTGGAATAGTGAATACTTTTGTTTTGTTATTTGCTATTCATTTGCAGTTAATAGCTATACAAGAGTAGTCATTAAAAATCTGAAAGTAAAAGTAACCACTAGCAAAAATAGTATAGCCAATAGCTAAATAAAAGTCATTATTGGGAGTACAAGGGCAATGTTATCATTTCACAACATTTAAAAATTTCAAAACAGTAATGAGATTTGATTTGAAATTTTAAAATTCACCCACCCTAATTTGTCTTTTAGCATTTTTCAAGATATTTTTGTGTCCTTTTCCCTTAAGAAATCTATTAACATTAGTTAAAAGTAATAAATATGTAAGAGATATACTTTTTCCCCCCAAATATCACCTTATTTATAAGAGGATAGGTGGGAAAAAGAAATAGTGAGAAAAAAGATGAAAGAAATTATATAGGGATAAACAAGGAAAATGGACCAAAAAGTACCCTGAAAATACTAAATTCCAACCAAGTGTATAAATAGTTACAAATGACAGAAAAGGAAGGAAAGCCTAAATTAGTATTATGAAAATCCGAGAAATATTTCATACAGTTGAGCTAGAAATATCAACACCTGCAACACATTTTAACAACTTTCAAATTGAAATTAACTAGTTGCTTTTTTCTAGCATCAAGAATTAGCAAATTGGGAAACAAATTACCATCTCCATGAAATGCCTATAATTGATTTAGCAGCAACAACATCTCAATATATTTTAACAACTTTCGAATCAAGATTAACAAATTATTTTCTCAATATCAAGACTTAGCAAATTGGGATGTAAAATCTTCTTTTCTCTATCTTATGAGTTTTACAATGTGTAATTCCCACAATTGACCTGGCAATAACAACTTTCCAATACAATTTACCAATTTTTCATCAAGACGGAATTGTAAGGATTACACATCATGAAACTCGCGAGATAAAGAGAAGAAGATTGTACATCCCAATTTGCTTAGTCTTGGTATTAGAAAAAGCAACTTGTTAATCTATTTAAAAGTTGTTAAAATATGTTGTGATGTTATTATTGACAGCTTAATTGTAGAAATTTCATGGAAATAGTAATTTTTTTCCAATTTACTAAGTCTTGATGTTAGGAAAAGCAACTTATTAATCTTAATTCAAAATTTGTCAAAATGTGTTGCGATATTGTTATTGACAGTAATTTTTCCCAATTTGCTAAGTTTTGATGCTACAAAAAAGTAACTTGTTAATCTCAATTCGAAAGTTGTTACAAAGCGTTGTGATGTTATTATTTTCAGCTCACTTGTATGCATTTCATGAAGACAATAGTTTTTCCTAATTTGCTAAGTCTTGATGTTAGAGAAAAACAACTTGTTAATCTTAATTTGAAAGTTGTTAAAATGTGTTGCAAATACTGCTATTTCTAGCTCAATTATAGGCATTTCATGAAGATGGCAATTTTTTCCGATTTGCTAAGTCTTGATGTTAGAAAAGAATAATTTATTAATCTCAATTCAAAAATTGTTAAGATATGTTGCGATACTGTTATTTTTGGTTCAATTATAAGGATTATGCATTTGCTAATATTTAGATGTTTCTGCCATTTTCCCACGTTTTCATATAGTTAATTCAGGCTTTCTCTCCTTCTCTATTATTTATAACAGTTGGATGTCTCACTTGGTACCCGCCGCCATATCATGTCCAATCTTATGTCCCAACGTCTTTGCTAAAAAAAAAAAAAATGAAGAAGAGATGCACTTGATAACACTGATTACATGGAACACAGCACCATATCATATGCCAACCTGTGATTAGCATCAATATTTATTCTCAAACATCCTTTTAAATAAACATACGAAGAGGCATAGTCAAAGGGAAATATATACATCATATTTGGAAATTTTGGTCCCCGACATTTTCCCATCCCTTTTCCCTCTTTCAGCTTCAAACTAAAAATTAGCAGAGAAAATGGTGTTCATTTTATCTAAAAACTCATTCATTCTGCACTGGACAGCTTGTAACTTAATCATATACAACCGTCATAGCTAAAAAGTAAGTATTATCTAATAATCAACAAATGGTTAAAACAATCTGCAGAAGTCCTTTTTAAATTTTTGATCACGTTGCTTTAGGATATGTTATTGAAACCAATATTCATAGCCAAGCACTAATAATCACCAAATGGTCACTCTCTCTTCAAGAGAAGAATTTGAAAAACAAAATGTCCTCTCCAATAAAATTATTGAGATGTTTCCAGCAATAGAATTGCTGAATGGGACTATCTTGGGCCTGTGCACTGTTAACTAAGATTTCATCCCCTAGCCAGAAAAAGAAAAAAAATGAGGGGAACCTTATGAGCTATTATAGTGTATACACATTAGTTCCTTGTATGTACACTATTTGATAATTCCAAAAAAAAAAAAAGAGGTAGCAAAAATATTAGGTTGATCAATAATATATCACCACTAGGACTAATCCAAATGGTGGGGCGAAAAAAAAAAAATAGAGCAAAATTCTCAAAAGGCCAAGAAATAGAGACCAAAGTAATGGCAGAAGAACCCGAATACTCCTGGTCTAGTGGTGACTGGCTAGGTCACAAGGGAGGCGAGTCTCTGCTCTTTGAGAGCGGGGGTTCGAATCCTCACTTGTTAAAAAGGGTACCGGGGAGGGCTCTCCTTATCGCATGGCCCGAATCCGACTAGTCGATCGCTCGGGTACCTAGTCCAAAAAGAGGCTAGGGCTCAGAAAAAGCGTGGTTAGATACTGGGTGATTCTTACCGAAAAAAAAAGTAATGGCAGAAGAAAAGTGAGACAAAATTTTGTTTTGCATTTGTCTGCAACCGTTATAGATGCGTGTCATTTAAGACATTAGAAATTAATCCACTCTTAATATTTACTATTTGTCACTTGTTTCTTAGGGTTGTATAAGAATTTTTATATATCGCTTTAAAATATAGAATGAATATTTAAGATTTTTCTTAAAACCTTATCATAAATAATAAGACAAAATCATATTCAAAGATATTACTACCACAAAAGGTCAACTTTCATCTATTATGGAGGCTCATATTCATCTGTTTAGGGGGAGATGTTGCTAAAGAGATGTAGATAACAAGTATATATTCTTTTGTTATATGAGTATGGAGAGACCATATTCGTCTAGTCCAAAACAACAAATATGGAAATCAAAAAGGTGACCAGACAAACATGTAATTTTTGTTTGTTAAGAGAAACCAAACAATAAAAAATGGGCATGCAAAATATTCAACTATTTTTTTTTAAATAAACATTTTTGTTTGTTAAGAAAACCAAAGAATATGCAGTAATATATTTGTTCTGGTCACCCAACACAGCTGAACAAAAGGCTACATGTTTTGTCTATTTTATGGGGAAAATGAAAATATGGGACAAAAAGAATATTTTTATAGTAGTTTATCTTTCTGTGCATGTAATATAAACATTACTTGATGTCTTTTGATCATATAAGCATCTTAACAAACTTTAACTATGCTACATAGGTTTATAAACATTGCACAATACATTTATTTGATGAATTTGTATCATGTTTATAAACCTTTTTTTTTTAAATTATTCACAACTTGATATAAATAACAAGACCGAAACTAGAAAAGGCATATGCCTCCCTTACTCATTGAAGGTCTTCCAAAAATCTTCATCTGCAACTCAGATTGACCTCACTTGTAAAGTTGTCTGCAGTCCCACCTGATGAACATTTCTAGCCAAAATATCAGCACCCTTAATGGTTTCCCTGTCACTATAATTCACTTGAACAAACATTGTGCAAGACATAAATAACCAAAGCAGAATCGCATAGTGTTTTGCAGGAAGAGTAATGAGCTTCAAGAAGTCTAAAATGCTAAAGCAAAAATAAAGCAAATTAGAAGACATCAAATAAATATATGAAAAGACACTAGGGCAAACTTCCAATACATAAGATTTAGAGGAATTAGTTATATAATTCATAGGGTTAGGGGTAAAAAATACTTATAAAAGTTCACCCATATAGTATAAATTTTTTTTGGGCTTAAATTTACCAATCTAAGGTTAAAAAGAACCAAAAAATGCCAGTGTTGTTAAAATGAACAAACATCTATTACTTTTG